CTAGTGGTTTTCTTTTCAGCCCTCGAGAGAACTTTCTCCTGGCCCGGCTACCCATCAGTCCCATTAACTGCTCATAGCTCATGTCCAATAGCTGGTCAAGGTCGACACCACGGTAGGTGTACTTCCTGAACGTTCTCTTCTTCTTGAGAGCTGCGTGATCCTAAACAAAGAAAATAGATTGGTTTAAAGTATTTTCTAGCCATTAGAGGACTGTTAGTAGCTGTGGATCAGAAGATGGAAGTGGATTGAAAGAAAGGAAGAAAGGACTCACCGCCATCTTCAATCTTGTTACACGTGGGAAAGAGGCCCTTCCCACTTATGCCGCCCCTCCTATTCTAGCTTTATATTTTAGTTTCTGAAGGTCTGTCTGCTTTTTTCTTCAAGAAATAGGCTCTTGATTTGTTTCTCTTTATAAGCTAGGGTAAAAATGCCAATTTCTCCTTGTTTCTTTATATTTTTTTAATTCTATGTCAATAAAATTTCTGCCGCCGAAAAGCAGGCGTGGCTCGATTTTGCAGACGAGCCCCTCCCATTTTCATTTTCCAGTTCGGGTGCTTCTTCAGGGGAAATGGCTTTCTTTATCGACCAGAAAGCATCTGCAGTACTTGACTTTCTCACTTCAATTGCCTATTTTATCATTGAATATGGTATTCCACTTGTCACACTGATCTTATTCATCATTTTTGTTCCAATGTTCTGCTGCTTCGGATGCAAAGGCATAACCATGGGCCATAAGTGTCGTCTAGCTCAGACAAAGATCTCTACTATAGTTCATCATATTATTTTCTTTTTCCTGAAAAAAGATGGTGATCAATTCATGGCTACACTTAACTTTCTCCTATTAATAATCTCGGCGCGGCAATCGACCACGCCTATAGAATGATGCCACGTGTGACCACGTGTCCAAACTAAGCTCCAACTCTATTTAAAGCACAACAGCATGTCTTTGAGTTCTTTGTCATCTTTACTTTCAAAGCAGCCAATTGAATTTATTTCCTCCAGTCCAGAGCTAAAAGAACTGTGTCTTTCGTCTCTTAAGGAATCTTTTGCTCAAGTTGTAGGGAGCGTAGAGTCTAGTGTCAAAGAGAGACCCTGTGTACAGGAGCTTCACACTGAGGGATTTGGCCTTGTGGACATATGGGAACAATTAGAGTTAGTTAACGATCCGTTATTGAAGCATTTGAAGAAACACTTGAAGACGAACGTCAACCATTTCCTGAGTGAAGTTGATGATAATAATAACAAGACAAGCGAAGCTGATGATATTAGGAGTGACAATGAAGAAATGATAGAGGAGGAGGAGGAGGAGGAGGAGCTACTTTCAGAAGATGAGGGAATAGAAGAAATGGATTCGGAAGATCCTGAATCAGATGTAGCCAGTGTCGGTGGAGAGGTGGGCGGAGACTCGGATCAATTCTTTGATTTAAACAAGATGGAGGAGTTTCTTAAAGAAGCTGAAAAAATGGACGAGGGTAAGACTTTTAACATGAAAAATTTAATTTAAATTTAGAAATATTAAATACTGTTAATTGTCTATATTTTTGTGTTAAGAATTAAATTACACTATGCTCATTGTTCACACAGTGTTTATTGCAGTTGGTTACTTTCTTGTTTAGGATCAGATGAAGATGACATCGATTTGTTTGACAGTGACGCTGGAGAAGGAAGCAATGATGAAGAGGAACAAGAAGAAGAAGATGAAGATGCTAAACGCTCTCTCTACCAGTATTATGATGATTTCTTTGACCCTGCTCCATCATCAACCACAAAGACGCCTTCAGTGGATCAACCACTCTCCCTGCATCAGAAGAAACAAGAGAAAGTGTGTTACTAAGATTAGCGTATTTTATTATCCTGGTTTTCTCATATCGGGTCACTAATAATAATTATTGTGATAGATATAAATTAGCCTTTCAGCAATTATTGATTGAATACTGTAGGTCGGTGTATAGCTAGAAAATTTGATGAAGTAAAATTTTGGTGAGTTTGGCGAATGAAGAAAATTTTAGTCTCCAGTTTGAAAGGGCCTGTAGCAGCATGATCATGGTTAAAATTTTGCAAAAAAAATAGTTTTAGCCTCCTAACCTCTTTTAGAATCTATTTGTCAAATTTTAATACTCCAAATTTTCCAACTACATGTATATGGTAGTTTATAATTATATATTTCGTTAGATGAAGTCCTACATAGCAAAACTTGAAGCTACTAACATTGCAGAGAAGCCGTGGCAGATGACAGGAGAGGTGACCTCCAAGGGACGAGGGGAGAACACATTACTGGAGGAGGATCTGATGTTTAAAGATGCTTCAAGGCCAGCACCTGAGATCACTGAAGAAGTGACTCTTACTTTAGAAGAAATTATTAAACAAAGAATTAAAGACCAGGTACTAAAGATTAATAATCGCATCCATGTAATAGTAGTCAATGTAATAGTAGCACGTTATAGTAACCAGTTATACTGAAATATGAGTGTCACTTAATGTTATCAGTGTATACTTTTATCTTTTATCTTTTTAAATCTTTTATCGCTTACTTTTGTACAGTGTTCTCTTTCTTCAAATCTCTCCAGTTGCATTTCTTCCTTGTTATCAATTTGTATGATATACATTGTAGCTCATTATAGGATTAACTTACTGTATTTTATTATTATTATTGTATATGAAGGCATGGGATGATGTTATACGTAAGACGAAACCAAAAGAAAGACCTTTCAATTATAAAGTGTTTCAGCCACTGAATGAAGAGAAGAGCCAGTTGAGTTTAGCTGAAGTATATGAGCAGGAATACATTAAACAGACACAGGTACAGTGGTAATATAATGGAGTCTGTTAAGGTCTGTCTGTATAGGGAGAGAGAGAAGAGGAAGAGAATCCAAAGCATAAGGAGATTAGGGAACTGGTTAAGAAGCTATTCAATCAGTTGGACTCACTCTCTAACTATCACTTCACACCAACTATTGTAAGAATTAAGCTCATTCTTTGTACCTTCATCTCTTGTTGCAGGCTGAGCCTGAAGTGAAGTCAATCCCACTCTTACCCTCTATATCAATGGAGGAGGTTGCCCCCATCACTCATAGTGAGACTACACTGAGAGCACCAGAAGAGATTGAGGTAATGTACAACAATGCATGAGGAATGATAGTTCCAGTGCACTTATGCTGTGTAGGAAGTGTGGCCTAATTTTAAGTTTTAATGTGTGAAATAAGTGTGATTTTTGTATTATTTACGCAACTTTAAAAATTCGTAAAATAATTAATTTTGATCTGAATCACTTCAAACTTTCTACACAACATAAGTACATGTATATGCATCAGGAAAAATTGTAAAAATGGAGAATTTTCACCTAGTCATTTTTGACAAAATTTGGCTCGTAACCCAGTACAGGGACTTTGGCCTGATTTTTGAGCAACTTTAAAAATTTGTAAAAATTTTAATTTTGATCGGAATCAGTTTAAACTTTCTACATAACCTAAGTACATGTATATGCATCAGAAAAAATTATAAAAATGGAGAATTTTCACCTAGTCATTTTTGACAAAATTTGGCTCGTAACCCTGTACTATAGTACAGGGACTTTGGCCTGATTTTGGAGTAACTTACAAAATTCATAAAATTCCAAATTTGATTGGAATCAGCTCAAACTTTCTGCACAACTTAAGTACATGTATATGTATCAGGAAACATTATAAAAATGGAGAATTCTCTAATTTTAATTTTCGATGAAATACCCTGTACTATATATAATATAGTACAGGTTCTTTAATAGGAACTGTAAAAGTATCAGAAAATTTAATAAAAAATGGGCTCTTCAGGTTTCTATACTGAAATTGTCTTCAAAAATGAATTACAGAAATATGTACTATTATTATTATTTCTTTTGTTAGACTCCCTCTCAAGTTGCCCCAGTTGGTGAGACAGAGAGAAGCAGTACTGATAAGAAAAGACAAAGGAGACACAAGAAGAAGAGGCAACATGCCATTGCTCTTAGCAAAGAAAAGAAGAAAGCATTGAAGGCTCTCTCTGTTAAACTTAAGAAAACGTCGGCCACAAGATCCTCGAACCGATTCTTTGCGGGTTTGGAGAAGGAAGCCAAGGTGTCATTAAAGAAGGAGAAATCGAAATTAACTAATAAACTGATAAATTTGGGCAATACAACACACACTAGCTCTGGTTTAAAACTCTAAAATTATACTAAAGACACTAGTTGTCTCTTGCAATAAGAATAATACTAATAGTTTTTAAATAGAATAAGCTTCATCTGCTGATATATCCCAAACTTGTTCTTTAGTTGCTCCTTGGGGCAGGAGGAATAATGCATCGAATATACGGAAGTTTTTATCAATTCCTTCCAAAGCTTGAATCTCTTCTGGTGAGAGGGTGATACTGCAAGCTCCAATGTTTTCCTTGATTCTCTTTTCACTGGTTGATTTTGGAATGATCATTATACCACGGTGAAGCAGAAAAGATAGGCAAATCTATGTGATTAGACAGTTATATTATTATAATTTATACAGCTTTAAGTTGCTCACTTGTCCAACTGTAGCTCCATGCTTCTCAGCAATTTGCTTCATTGTGGGGTCCTCCATAATTACAGGATCATCAGGATTGATCATCATTTGTGGACGACCAGGAGAGCCAAGAGGAGAATATGCCTCAAGGACAATACCTATTAAATACTTAGTTACTATTAGAAATTTAGGGACACTTAATACCTTTGGAGTCACAGTACTTCTTAAGTTTCTTTTGCTGGAAGTAGGGATGGCATTCAACTATCATAGTAATGCTAAATAGATCTAATGCTTAAATATTAAACATACCTTGATTAACTGCAGGGACTATCTTTGCTGTCCCAAGGAGTTTCTCCATTTTGGTGATTGTAAAGTTTGATACTCCGATTGCCTTCACAAGACCTTTACTAACCAAACTCTCCATTGCCTATCATGATAGCAAATCGGGTATAATACTTCTCATAATTGTACAATGTACCTCCCAAGTTTTGGCCATGCGGTCTGAATCATATCCTATCTTGTGGTCCTCAGTCAGCATTGGAAATGCCAACCCTGCTTCTTTAGTTAAGGTAAAAGGAAAGTGTACCTGCATTAATGAGTCAGTAGTAGGATAATCAGATTAGTAAAATTTGTACAGAGTATTAGATCAATAGTAACAGTTCTAATTATAGTATCTTTAATGGCTGCTATAAAAGCTGCTATTAGAGTAATTTAATTTAATACATACGCACCAAGTAAAGATCAAGGTAGTCAAGTTTGAGTTTCTTGAGTGTATCACGACAACACTCCTCAACATTTTCAGGATTATGATGGGAGCCACTACAAACCAATGAAGTTTTATATAAAGCATTGTGTCTGCATGCAATTAACACACGGTAGTTTTGATGTCATGAACAGGTCCTCTCTCTTAAGAACTCCCTCCTTGAACAAGGTCTCCAGGGTAGCTCCAATCTCATCTTCGTTGCGATAAAGCCAAGCACAGTCAATGGAACGATAGCCATTCCTGACAGCAATATCAACTGCTTGACCAACAACCCCTTTCTCTGAACTTAATGTACTGTAAAATAAAATTTATATAGAAATAGCATATTAGACAATATAGATATAAACTAAATGGCTAGCAGACATTCACTTACCCCAATCCAAAAGCGGGTACTACTTTTCCTGTGTTTAGCTTTAAAGTCCACTACAGTACGGTAGAGTAAATGCAGCAATTAATGATCTAGGCTTACCTTGTCACTTGCCATAGCTCTTCTTTATTCTTTGCTGCAAAGAAAAGGGTGTGGCTGATTTTTTAGCCTAGCCCATGAATTTTTTACATTCTTTCTATAGTAGATAGTCTATTAACTAAAATCAAACTAATGAGTGACATTATCTAGTTGTCCTTTTAATTACAGCAACAATAATAATACTAGTAGTTATTAAATAGAATAAGCTTCATCTGCTGCTATATCCCAAGCTTGTTCTTTAGTTGCTCCTTGGGGCTGGATAAATAATGCATCGAATATACGGAAGTTTTTATCAATTCCTTCCAAAGCTTGTATCTCTTCTGGTGAAAGGGTGATACTGCAAGCTCCAATGTTTTCTTTGATTCTCTTTTCACTGGTTGATTTTGGAATGACCATTATACCACGGTGAAGCAGAAAAGATAGGCAAATCTATAGCACAATTAGACAAAAACTTAACTATAATTTATACAGCTTTAAGTTGCTCACTTGTCCAACTGTAGCTCCATGCTTCTCAGCAATTTGCTTCATTGTGGGGTCCTCCAAAATTACAGGATCATCAGGATTCATCATCATTTGTGGACGGCCAGGAGCACCAAGAGGAGAATATGCTTCAAGAACAATACCTTTAAAATTTAAAGTATTCAGTTACTATTAAAAATTTAGGGACGCTTAATACCTTTGGAGTCACAGTACTTCTTGAGTCTCTTTTGCTGGAAGTAGGGATGGCATTCAACTACAACAGTATACAATAGATCTAATGCTTAAATATTAAACATACCTTGATTAACTGCAGGGACTATCTTTGCTGTCTCAAGGAGTTTTTCTGTTTTTGTGATTGTAAAGTTTGATATTCCAATTGCCTTCACCAGACCTTTACTAACCAAACTCTCCATTGCCTATCATGATAGCAAACCAGGTGTATTCCTTAATATACTAAAGTACAATGTACCTCCCAAGTTTTGGCAATGCGGTTTGAATCATATCCTAACTTATGGTCCTCAGTCAGCATTGGAAATGCTAACCCTGCTTCTTTGCTTAAGGTAAAAGGAAAGTGTACCTGCATTAATGAAATGCATGGAATAGCGGAGATTAGATAAAGTTTGTACAGTGTACTAGAAGAAGTTCCAATTCATAGTATCTTAATTTAATAACTATACTATTGGAGTATTTTAATTTTAATGTATGTACTCACCAGGTAAAGATCAAGATATTCAAATTTAATTTTCTGAAGTGTATCACGACAACACTCCTCAACATCTTCAGGATTATGATGACTCCCACTATAAACCAACAAAAATATGATTTATATAAAGGTATGCAATTAACAAACGGTAGCTTTGATGTTATGAACAGGTCCTCTCTCTTAACGACACCCTCCTTGAACAAGGTCTCCAGGGTAGCTCCAATCTCATCTTCGTTGCGATAAAGCCAAGCACAGTCAATGGAACGATAGCCATTCCTGACAGCAATATCAACTGCTTGACCAACAACCCCTTTCTCTGAGCTTAATGTACTGTAAAATAAAATGTATATAACTAACATGCAGAAACAGTATATTTAGTCTCGCTTAGCCAGCCCCTCCCTCCGTGCCTATGGGAAGGGTCGTATACTATTAATTTGAGTTCAAATGGAACATCTGAGCGGACAGGGCCTGGCCTGGGCTAAGACCCGGCTATTCTGAAAATAAACTCATGTGATCATAAAAATGGCTGACCCGGCCACGGCATTTTATTTGAAGTGAAATCAACAATAGCCAACCCCTACCGACTAAGGGGGGAGGGGCTGGCTAAACGAGACTATATATAGTATTATATTATGTAGAAATGCTAGCAGACATTCACTTACCCCAATCCAAAAGCGGGTACTACTTTTCCTGTGTTTAGCTTCAAAGTCCACTACAGTAGAGTACAGTATAGTAAATGCAGCAATTAATGATTTAGGCTTACCTTGTCACTTGCCATGGCTCTTTCAAACTCGTTTTTCTTTTTTGCTGCAAAAAAGGGTGTGGCTAATTTTTAGCCTAGCCCATTAATATTAACATTCTTTCTATAGTAGTCTATTAACTAAAATCATACTAAAGCAGAGTGACACTATCTAGTTGTCCTTTTAATAATTGCAATAGTAATACTAATAGTTATTAGATAGAATAAGCTTCATCTGCTGATATATCCCAAGCTTGCTCCTCAGTTGCTCCTTGGGGCAGGAGGAATAATACAGAGAATATTCTGAAGTTTTTATCAATTCCTTCCAAAGTCTGTATCTCTTCTGGTGAGAGGGTGATACTGCAAGCTCCAATGTTTTCTTTAATTCTTTTTTCACTGGTTGATTTTGGAATGACCATTAGACCACAGTGAAGCAGAAAAGATATGCAAATCTATACAATTAGACAGTTATATATATATATATTATACAGCATTAAGTTGCTCACTTGTCCAACTGTAGCTCCATGCTTCTCAGCAATTTGCTTCATTGTGTGATCCTCCAAAATTACAGGATCATCAGGATTGATCACAAATTGTGGACGACCAGGAGAACCAAGAGGAGAATATGCCTCAAGAATAATACCTTAAAAAATGAAAAATACTCAGTTACTATTTAGAATTCAAGGGGTAAATATATTATACCTTTGGAGTCACAGTACTTTTTTAGTTTCTTTTGCTGGAAGTAAGGATGGCATTCAACTGCAACAGCATGCACAGTTATATAATGCTTAAAATATTAAACATACCTTGATTAACTGCAGGGACTATCTTTGCTGTCTCAAGGAGTTTTTCTGTTTTTGTGATTGTAAAGTTTGATATTCCAATTGCCTTCACAAGACCTTTACTAACCAAACTCTCCATTGCCTATCATGATAGCAAATTGGGTGTATTCCTTAATATACTAGTACAATGTACCTCCCAAGTTTTGGCCATGCGGTCTGAATCATATCCTAACTTGTGGTCCTCGGTCACATTTGGAAATGAATGCATTGCATCTTTCTTAAAAGCAGCAGGAGAGTGTACCTGTATAAATGAATAAATGAGATTACAATAGTTCCAATTCACTAGTTTTGAAAATTTGTGTTATTACAATATTTTTTATTTTTAATGCATGTACACACCAGGTAAAGATCAAGATAGTCAAATTTGAGATTCTTGAGTGTATCACGACAACACTCCTCAACATCTTCAGGATTATGATGGGTCGAACTACAAACAAACAAATATACATTTACATGTACTTATGCAATTAACTTACGATAGTTTTGATGTCATGAAGAGGTCCTCTCTCTTAACGACACCCTCCTTGAACAAGGTCTCCAGGGTAGCTCCAATCTCATCTTCATTGCGATAAAGCCAAGCACAGTCAATGGAACGATAGCCATTCCTGACAGCAATATCAACTGCTTGACCAACAGCCCCTTTCTCTGACTGCCACGTACTGTAAAATAAAATTTACAGATATATATAAAAGATATTTTACATCAAACCATGATCAAACTAAATTGCACTTACCCCAATCCAAAAGCGGGTACTACTTTTCCTGTGTTTAGCTTCAAAGTCCACTACAGTAGAGCACAGTATAGTAAATGCAGCAATTAATGATTTAGGCTTCGTATGGCTTACCTTGTCACTTGCCATACTCGTGTCTTTGTTTTTGGCAGTTTTTGCTGCGAAGAAAAGGCGTGACTAATTTTTAACCCAGCCCCATAGACTATAGATCTAGATAAATCTGAAAAATTAACTAAAATCATACTAAACCTTATGCATAGGCTCCTGACTAAGTAAACACACTAGTAGCAAAAGTTAATAATACTAATAGTTTTAAATAGAATAAGCTTCATCTGCTGCTACATCCCATGCTTGCTCTACAGTTGTTCCCTTGGGCAGGAAAAACAATCCAAGAAATAATCGAAGGTTCTTATCAATTCCTTCCAAAGCTTGTATCTCTTCTGGTGAGAGGGTGATACTGCAAGCTCCAAGGTTTTCTTTAATTCTTTTTTCACTGGTCGATTTTGGTATGACCATTAGGCCAGAGTGAAGCAGAAAAGATATGCAAATCTAACAATATAGCATATATATACATAATAAATATGCAGTCAGTTTTGCATTGCTCACTTGTCCAGCTGTAGCTCCATGCTTCTCAGCAATTTGCTTAATTGTGGGATCCTCCATAACTACAGGATCATCAGGAGAGGCTCGTGGACGACCAGGAGAACCAAGAGGAGCATATGCCTCAAGGACAATACCTTTAAATAATGTGCAATTACTATTAAGAATTCAAGGAGCTTTATACCTTTAGAATCACAGTACTTCTTGAGTTTCTTTTGCTGGAAGTAAGGATGGCATTCAACTACAACAATATACAAATATATAATGCTTAAATATTAAACATACCTTGATTAACTGCAGGGACTATTTTTGCTGTCTCAAGGAGTTTCTCTGTTTTTGTGATTGTAAAGTTTGATATTCCAATTGCCTTCACAAGACCTTTACTAACCAAACTCTCCATCACCTATCAATGATAGCAAATCAGGTGTAATACTTCATACTAGTACAATGTACCTCCCAAGTTTTGGCCATGTGGTCTGAATCATATCCTAACTTGTGGTCCTCAGTCAGATTTGGAAATGCAAACAATGCTTCTTTCTTTAAGGCAGAAGGAGAGTGTACCTGCATTAATGAAATGAATAGCAGCATAATGAGATTAAATAAAATTTGTACAGTGTACTAGTAACAGTTCCACTTTATTGTAACTTTAATAGCTGCTATAAAAGCTGCTATTGGAGTATTTCATTTTAAATGCATATACAGGTACACACCAGGTAAAGATCAAGGTAGTCAAGTTTGAGATTCTTGAGTGTATCACGGCAACACTCCTCAACATCTTCAGCATTGTGATGACTCCCACTACAAACCAACAAATATATGATTTATATAAAGCATCGTGTGATAAAGTGTCTATGGTGTGTGTGTAAATTTAGCATACGAAAGTTTTGATGTTATGAACAGGTCCTCTCTCTTAACGACACCCTCCTTGAACAAGGTCTCCAGGGTAGCTCCAATCTCATCTTCATTGCGATAAAGCCAAGCACAGTCAATGGAACGATAGCCATTTCTGACAGCAATATCAACTGCTTGACCTACCAGCCCTTTCTCTGACTGCCATGTACTGTAAAATAAAATTTTATAGCTAATAGATCTATACAATTAACTTTTAAAATACTACTGAGTAGATATTGCTATTACATCATAGCTAAATTGCTAGACAAATATTTACTAACCCCAATCCAAAAGCAGGTGCTACTTTTCCTGTATTTAGCTTCAAAGTCCACTACAGTACAGTATAGTTATTAGTCATTGCAGCAACTAATAATTAAGGCTTACCTTGTCACTTGCCATAGCTCAGTCTTATAACTCTTGTCTTTCTAAAATTTGTCTTTTTTGCTGCAAAGAAGAAGGTGTGGCTGATTTGCCTAGCTTTACATTCCTCCTATAGTATTAACTAAAATCATACTAAACACACTAAAGTTATCTTTTTAATAATTGCAATAATAATAATACTAATAGTTTTTAAATAGAATAAGCTTCATCTGAAGCTACATCCCAAGCTTGTTCTACAGTTGTTCCTTTGGGCAGGAAAAACAGTCCAATGAATAATCGACAGTTTTTATCGATTCCTTCCAAAGCTTGTATCTCTTCTGGTGAGAGGGTGATACTGCAAGCTCCAAGATTTTCCTTGATTCTTTTTTCACTGGTTGATTTTGGAATGACCATTAGACCACAGTGAAGCAGAAAAGATATGCAAATCTATAGTACAATTAGACGAAAACTTAATTATAATTTATACAGCTTTAAATTGCTCACTTGTCCAACTGTAGCTCCATGCTTCTCAGCAATTTTTTTAATTATGGGATCCTCCATAATTACAGGATCATCAGGATTGACCCGTGGACGACCAGGAGAACCAAGAGGAGCATATGCCTCAAGGACAATACCTTTTAAATTAAAAATACTCCATTACTATTTAGAATTCAAGGGGTAAATATATTATACCTTTGGAGTCACAGTACTTCTTAAGTTTATTTTGCTGGAAGTAAGGATGGCATTCAACTGCAACAGCATGCACAGTTATATAATGCTTAAAATATTAAACATACCTTGATTAACTGCAGGGACTATCTTTGCTGTCTCAAGGAGTTTTTCTGTTTTTGTGATGGTAAAGTTTGATATTCCAATTGCCTTCACCAGACCTTTACTAACCAAACTCTCCATCACCTATCAATGATAGTAAATAAAGGATACTAGTACAAACGTGTATAATATATTGGTACCTCCCAAGTTTTGGCCAAGTGTTCTGAATTATATCCAAACTTCTGTTCCTCAGTCAAATTTGGAAATGAAAGCAAAGCATCTTTCTTTAAAGCAGCAGGAGAGTGTACCTGTATAAATGAATAAATGAGATGCATTATAACAGTTCTGATTCATTATCTTTACACAATTGCTGCTCATAAAAGCTGTTATTAGAATATTTTTATTTTTAATGCATAGACAGATAATAGACGTACACACCAGGTAAAGATCAAGATAGTCGAGTTTGAGATTCTTGAGTGTATCACGACAACACTCCTCAACATCTTCAGCATTATGATGGGTCCCACTAATATGAACAAAAATGATTGTAATATTATGTGTAAGCATTGTGTGTGTGTGTGTGTGTGAATTTAACATACGATAGTTTTGATGTTATGAACAGGTCCTCTCTCTTAACGACACCCTCCTTGAACAAGGTCTCCAGGGTAGCTCCAATCTCATCTTCGTTGCGATAAAGCCAAGCACAGTCGATGGAACGATAGCCATTCCTGACAGCAATATCAACTGCTTGACCAACAACCCCTTTCTCTGACTGCCATGTGCTGTAAAATAAAATTTATCAAACCTAAATTGCTACACATTTAATTACCCCAATCCAAAAGCGGGTACTACTTTTCCTGTGTTTAGCTTCAAAGTCCACTACAGTAGAGTACAGTATAGTAAATGAAGCAATTAATGATTTAGGCTTACCTTGTCACTTGCCATAACTCTTTTCTTTTTTGCTGCAAAGAAGAAGGTGTGGCTGGTTATAAATGTAATTAATTTAAATTTAACTTTTCCTTTTGTTATGGCGACTTTAAATGGCGACTGAAGGCGAAGGACGTTCAAAAATGGGTCGCAACAACAGTTCCTACATCATTTACATTATATTGGCGGTGATACTAGTCACCCTACTCTATTTCTCGTGGTCCCTCAACACGCAAGTAAAAGGCGCCAGGGCAGAGAAGAGATCTTTAGAATCGGAGCTAAGTCGTAACGAGGGAGAGAACAACAAGCTCAAATCCCAACTGCAAACCCTTAACGAAGAGATACAGAGTCTAACAAGACACAAAACTGCTCTTGAAAATGAGAAAGAGAAGTTATCGACAGAATTGAATGAGGCTAAGGCTTCAATAGTAAGTGGGTGTGGTCGTGAACATTATAAAACTTTATCATTTTTCATTTGAAGGTTTCTGATAGTAATAAGCTAACGGAGTCAAAGTCGACCATTGAAAACCTTCAGCAAAAACTGGAGGAAAAATCAGGTGAGAGTTTATGGGTATTCAAAATGATTTGTAGCAAGGAATTATATTTGCGATTGGCCGTCCTGTGAAGAAATTGTCAATATAAATTTTGGCCAATTGCTTTGCTCAGATAAATTCACCAAATAATTATTAACTCTTGTCAATAAATGATCTATTTTTGATATCTGGTTTCTCTCATCCTAGACGAACTGACTAAAGTGACGCAAGAGAAAGACTCAGAATTGTAAGTAAAAGTAAATCACTTAGAAATGAAACCACTTCCAGTTGGCATACCATATACATACGTGTATGTATAGTATGTAATAGTATGTACATGTACATGTACATGTACATACATGTATATATGACACATGTACATGTACAGGTACATACATGTACATACGTACATACATGTGTACATGTACATGTACATGCATACTTGTATACATGAATGTATCAGGAATTTCTGTAATCTTAAGACTTTGGCCCAATACTCTTAAAGTACACTGCATACATGTACATGGGAGTGTTATGAAAATATTGTTCAAAAAAAAAACTTTAAATATAATTATCCTGTTTTTATTTACTTGAATTGAAAATAGCAAACGTGTTTATTTGTTCGTGTGTGTGTGTGTGCGTGCGTGCGTGTGTGTGTGTGTGTGTGTGCGTGCGTGTGTGTGTGTGTGTGTGTGTGTGTGTACATGCACACACGTGAGTGTGATGGTGTTTATGTTTACAGCTATGAATGTTACTATGTGTTACTAATTAGTTTGCATAATTGAATCTTTGTTACATAGAATCCTTGTAATCCTATTGTAGTATTATATTAATATGGGTTCCCAATTCCCCTACAGTCACACCACTTATGGTTTTGCATTAGTAGTAGTACTATCACTTTATAATTGATGTAGTTTTATATGACAATTTTAGAATTTCGGACTACATGTATTTAATTGTTTTGGCTAATGATGAATGTCAAATTTGAAAGCAACTTCATGTACAATGTAAATTTCCCGATTCATTAAGTTTGTTTAAACTACTCTGTTTATCTTACTTTGATGTACATGTATAAAGCATTGAGTTTAAATACAAAATGGCTGCCCCTAATGTAGTTCACTAGATTCGTGTATAATTTATAATACCTAGCTGTATTAGCACACTACCCACCCACCATTACAGTTGTAATTAATGGTTACTTTTATTATGGCTACTTTTATTATGGCTACTTTTATTATGGCTTTACGTATGTACATGTATATGTATTATTTACAATTCTTGGAAGTGGCAGCTTGGCAGCTTATTACAAGTATTATTCATAGTATTAATGCATTACTCTTCATTTGAGTGTACTATGACTGATCCACCCTACCTCTCTCTTGTAATGTATACTACGTCTTCCTTTAATCTTCTTTCAGGGACAAATGTGAAAAAGCTAAGGAAGCATGTGAAGATCAGAAAGAGAGTAAGTGCTACGCTTGTAAGCACGTACTACTATCAATTAAAATGCTAATAATTATTATAATAATGATACTGTTTATAATACAAATCTACAAAAATATGTGTACGTTGTTCACTCATGTACTATAATGCATGTTGTAGAAATGTATACCTTTCCCCTTCTTCCTCTTTCATCTCTGGTCTTCCCTTTTCCCTCTCCTTTTGGACTCTCTCTTTTCTTCCTTCTCTCTCTTTTCTTCTCTCTCTCCTTTTCCTCCCTCCTCTCTCTCTCCCCTCCCTCCCTCTCTCTCCCTTTCCTCCCTCCCTCCCTCTCTCTCTCTCTTTAGAATTGAGTACGTGTGAGACAAATCATGAGGCAGTCCAAACGGAGCTAGCAACATTGAAGAGAAAGTTTCAGACACAAGGTGTTGACAGGCAATCTCTGTTATCCCAGTTTAATTCTGTTTCAGAAGACCTCAAAGCTGCTCAAAGACAATTACAGGAATGTCGCTCGCTTTTAACATCCCAGCACTCCAACCCTCGTGATTCTCAAACAGATGTTAAATACCGGAATACTCTTGATCACGGTGAGAGTAAGCATCCAAATACTCTGACTCACGTCCAGAAGAACGATGAGAAGCATAACGATAATGACATTCAGTATGATCATCAGTCTGATGCCAATAACAATAATAATAATAATCAAGATGAGCACAGGGCAGATGCTGGTAAAGATGGTGGGGACGAGGGTGGGAAGAAACCAGGAGACTTGCCTCATGAAGACGGGGACGATGGACAGGGCGGGCCTCCGATGCTGGGGGTGGGCGGAGATGAAGAGAGACAGGGGGGAATGCCTCAAAACCCGGACCTGGTATTGGGTATCAATCAACCTGGTCATCATCTTGATAAAGGGAATAGTGATGAGGGGCCACAGCTGAGGGGAAATGATAAAGTACCTGATTATCAATCGGATAATGATGGAGGTAACCAGTGTCACCCTCCCTCTCTCTTTAATTCTACTTCACCTTCTTTCCTCTTTGCATGCATTTTATTTATTTACATTTGTACTTTATTTTATTTTATTTATTTATTTAGGTAACAAAGATGGTGAAGCAGATACCGCTGGCGCTAAAGACAGTGAAGGTGATGCTAAAGAAGGAGACGGAGGAGGTAACAAAGACACAAACGGCGACACAGCGGACAATAAAGACAACGACGGAGCCGATCACGCCGGAGACTCAGATGCCAAAGATGGAGACGACCAACAGAATAAGGATCCCAATAAAGATAGTGAGGACGATGGAGCTGTCCCAAATAAGAGTGACCCTCTTGAAACTGATCACGACGGCGGTAGAGACGATTTGGATCATCTCGCTGATCTCGTTGCTCAAGACAAGAAGGCTCAAGTAGACGAGGGAGAGGATAAGAAGGAGGAACATGGAGCGTTGAAACGGGATCTTGATGACGTAATGCCTCACCATCTGGACGAGAATGGTATCCAAAGACCAAACTTTAATCCGGTCGAAGGAGATGAGAAATCGAAAGAGGACGAGATCAGGTCTTTGTTCAAGCATAATATCGATAATCCTAACTTTGATCAGAAGCTCCAGGATATTCTATCCCGTAACGGCCATCGAGAAGGTCCCGATAATTTTAGGATGTCGAGGAACGGTTTCGACGAGAACCAGTTGGAGCAACCGTTTCGTAATCGTGACGAAGCCATCGAGAGGATGAGAGAGTTTGCCGGAGATAGAGTGAGGAGAAGGCCGAATCGTCGTGGAGATTTTTGAGGGCATCATGTTAAGAAACAGAATATGCATACAGAGAGGGAGAGAGGGAGGAGTATATATATCTTTCCACTTTTCATTTTTTGATTATTAATATTTACTACACGCTACAAATTACTGTACTACTAACTGTTAGTTTAAAAGTGAGACTCGTAATTTTATTATGAAAATACAATTATCGTGTACTCCAGCAGAAAACTAGCAGAGGATTATTTTTTAATAAGAACAGCTCATAAATGGATAAAATGTAACAATTAGACAAATTTAACAAATATTTAAAGTAATTGTAGTCTCTTGTATTTTATTAATTATTAGGTCGACAATAATAGTCACATTTTCCTCTATGTCACATCTAATGCAAAACTCGTTAGGATGTGTGGGCAGTTCTAACGTTGCTAACTGCGTATCTAATAGCGATGGTGGCATGTAGTGACCACGCCTACTCTCCATACGCTCCTTGATTAGCTTAGGAGGTCCGTCTAAATGAACAAATAATACCTTAGTCCTTACATCAATAAGAGGTTGGACTTTTTCTTCTATTTGTCTCTCGGATTCTATCTTATGTCCATTCAGTACATCACGATATGATCTCTTTAAAGCGGAACATGCTAGAACTCCTCCAACTCTCACTCTTCCTGTAGCTCCCTCTCTTGTTCTTATTGTGTCTTTATCACTAGCACTATCTGACATATCCTGATTATCCTCTTCTTCTTTCAACCAGGCATATAGTTTCTCGTGAAGTGATATTAACCAAGGGAGTCTGTCCTTTAATAAAAAAAATTATTATTATTATTATCAAGCTTTGCAACACACTAAACAAGAGAAGAAAGCAGTGACACTCATGCATATAGAGACTAGTGGAGTGTTGAGGGTCTAGCACCAACTCCTTAATACTAAATACTAAAATCATTTTGTAGTCTTTTAATCTAGCAATTATGCTAATTTATTGGTATTTGTGTGTGCTCAGTTTATGTGTGTGTTCATATGAAGTGTGTGTGTGTGTGTGTCTTGATGCATAATTGGCAAGTGTTGTCACTGATGGACTCACTTGATCAGTTAGTGGTATTCCTTGACTCATCTTCTCAACATTGGATGAGCTGTGGTGAGAATCAGCATCTTCAAATGGACACGATAACTATAGAAGAAAGAGAGAGAGTGGAGTTTGAATGAGTATATCAGGGAGAGAGAGAGAGAGAATTCCATGTATGACTTAATGTTGCGTGATAAATTCTTGGCTCACATCATTAATCATATCGAAATGATTTGTACAAAAATTGCCATAAATTGATTATTTTATTGACCGCAAAAAGCTACGAATTCTTATAAGGTTCATTTAGTCAGTGCAATGCGACCAATGTCTATTTCCATGTATATTATGTGAATGTGATATCATAATTATACCACCCAGCCTCTATAGAGAAATGGCAACTATTTTCGTGATATCTGAGCCTTTGGAATCTGATAAATATTTACATTTTTAAATTGTGTTCGTCAATTGGATGTGCAGTATTGCTTTTATTCTTTTTTCCCTTAACTCATAAACAACTTGTCACTATGACTGGAATTTAATTAAAGCATATTAAATTATTATCTTTGTCAGCATATTTAACTATTTTTTATTTAATAATTTCTCTTACCTTTTCTGCTAGGGCTTGACCGACTGTCGTCCTGTTAAATAGTAAGATAATGCAAAGTGAAGAATTTTATCTCTTCCCGGGCAAATCCCCCTGCCTACTCACTTTCCTACACCGCAGACTCCCATCACCACTATCACCATTGAAGCTGAAGCCGCCATGTTTTATGAGGGCGTAGACACGCCTCGCACAACTATCGTATTCCATCCATCATGCATAAAAGTTGCGGTATAAAAAAGAATGTCCCATTTAGAAGGGACAGCCTCCACCTACACCACTAGGCTCTGTAGTAGCCCTAAGAAGAGTTTTGCAGGAGACGCACACACAGTGAAGATGGCTTGGTTGACCAACTTTTTCAGGAGACGTAGACATCGCGCCATCACCCGGCAATATCACGTCGTCCTCCAGGACGGTACCGAGAGAACATTTGAATTGCAGGTGAGCTATTTCTTGGTGCGCCTTGGCTTTATTTTACTGATTGTCCACAGCGTACAGCTACAGTGCAAGACCTTGTTGAGGTCTCTCTTTTAAGTATGAGTGTTCCTGCTCCCTATCATTACATGTTTAGTCTGACTGTGACTAATAGTAGCCAGCAGGTATGAGTGGACACAGACACACACAGACCAGCAATCAAGCTGACTGTACTAATTGAATCAAACCACTCAACCAAATATGGATATAACAATGACAACTTTTTGCCTTTTTCCTTAGAATCCACGTTGGCTTAGGCTTAGAAAAACACTCAAAAAAGAACTCAAAAGTCAGTATGCACTAATAATTAACAGTGTAAATTGTTTTAAACTGAACATTTGCATTAGCATCATTTGTTTCTTCTTATAGATACAGAACCACAAACCAAACTGTATGTTACAGTACTTATGTATCCAAAGTCGCACTTTGTACTTGAACACAAAGTAGTAAGGTATGGTAGTGTGAACCTTTAGCATATGCAGCAATTGATCAACTTCTTTAATCCAATAGACACCTTCTTTATGCTCAAGTTTGCAAGGACTTGAATGATGGAAGGTGTGTTCTCCTATCTTATATATAAAAATTGTTATTATTGTGTTATTATTATTATTATTATTATTTGTAGAATAAAGTGTACAAGTGATGTCATGGCTCAGCTTACAGGCCTTATAGCTCAAGGTAAGCAACTGCATGCAAGCAAATTTCCAGTCAATATAATAACAATTATTGTGGATGTGGTTTTAACTAAATTTACCCTTTGTAATACAATAATATTGATGTCAATTACGTTATGCAAAATATTATAATAATTATTTTTTCTAGCTCAACTAGGTGATTATTCTGAAAGGACACTTCAGAGTGACTACATGTCTAGACTGAATGTCAAAATGGTAATATCATCTCTCAATCATAATACTGTAATACTTCCTTTCTCTACTTTATACTTAATAGAGTCCAAAGCATGAGAGAATGGCCGTGGAGCAGCATAAACTGAGAAGGTAAGGAGAGTAGAGGAGTGGGAGTCATAGTTAGGAAATATCGCTCCAGTTACTGTCAGTAATTGAGAATTAATGTGTGTGTGACCAAATGAGAGAAGCACATTCAGTTATATAATCAATATGAGTACATGCTAGTGAAATATGAGTCTAATAATAGTAATAATATTATTATTATTATTATTATTATTATTATTATTGTAGTTGCTTTTTAAAATTAAATTGAAATCAGTCTAATATTTATTTTATATTTATCCCTCTTGTAGAGGCTTGCAGACTGATAGCTGCATTGAGGAATTCCTCAACATGGCTGAAGGCCTCAATGGCTACGGATCTATTCTATTTGATCTACAAGTGAGTGTGTTCTATAAGTCTTCTGTTTAGTGCACTTTCCAAGAGTGCAGACATACATATGTACCCACACACACACACAATACGTGAATTATTTATAAGTTATATCATAGTACAATATTTGCATGTGTGGAAAGTTCTTGAGGGAAGGAAGTTTAACTATTTCTTTAGCATTCCATTGAGTGACAAGTGTAGAGTCTAATCCATTGAGTGACAAGTGTAGAGTCTAATCAGTGCATGCGTGGATTTCCTTATCACAACAGAATGACTTGAGTTATGATAGGCTGTTGTGGTAGCCCACTTATCTTACATACCTACTTTTACTCCCTCTTAACCATACAACTGATAAACAAGATAAAATATTTGTTCACTAATTAATAATAATAGTACTATTTATTTTCATTTATTTATTGTAAAATATATTTTTATGTAGGATGAACAAAGTCATCCTGTAGTTCTTGGTTGCGGTCCTAATGGGATTGAAGTTTTGGAAGGAAACATACAGACTCTGTCCATCAAATGGTAAACAATTCCTAACGATCTGTATCAATCAATGTTCGATGCTTGTATGTGCTACAAGAAGATATGTCAAGCATGTTTTCATTGAGTAATTTAATCAACTCATTCTTTGTCCTTATTTGCTTTGTACAGGGAGACCGTGACTATCATCAATATAAGATACAGGACGATAAACTTCCATTCTGATACGACATATGTAAGTGCAATGAGGTAGAGAATTAAATTACAGAAAAGTATATTTGCTATTGCTATGTGTGTACTATACAAAGATTGATATCCAGACTTTGCTGTGTCTGAAAGTACATGATTACCATTGATTATCATTTCTATTAAGGAATAACAAGAAGTATCTTTTTTTATAATAACATATTGCGTTACACGTTACATCAGAGATTTCTAAATTATTTTAATAATGGTATCCGGTGTAATTTAAGCTAGTAATGCTATACTT